GCAGCAGGAATGGGGGACAGGGGCTTTGAGTGGGGGCACAGGGTAGCAGGGCTAGGGGGCAGGGGGCACAAGCAGAGCATCCTGCCATGTACCCCTTGCCCTCATATTCTTTTTCTGACATGCCAGCACTCCAGCCTTCCAAGGTAGACATTGTGGTGTTTTTTGGCACACTGGCCAAAAAACGTTGCCTACCCCTGCACTAAATCTACTAGTCATGATAACTGAGCCCAAAAGAACTCGGGTGGTGTCTGAGATCCCCAATAAGTTCTCAGTGAGAGTACTTTAAAACTTAACTTAAAATATAAATCGAGAAAACAAAATATGTGCGCCACTGAGGCACAAAAGCCTCTTCTCACAATGCCATTTTCATAGTCAATATACAGAACAGAACTACACTTTATAGATTACAGAAGTGTTTTCTTTTGTCAACCAATCCTTGCTGTAGAGATATACAGACAAACGTGAAAACTGGAATTGCTAAAACTTTTATAGGAAGGTCTCTGAAGGCCACCAACCATATGTTCCAGCATGCAATTCTACATCTTTATCAAACACTATACTTAAGGCTACAATACAATACAAGGCCAGTAAGTCTAAAGTGAGAACAAAAAAAGTAGTCCCACGCTATTCCCCAGCTATATAGCAAGCACAGGTCAAGAAAAGAAAATACATGTTTGCAATCTTTTTGAATGGGCTTTCTGCCAATGTAGGTCAAATTTTAAGTTAACAGCCATATTAATGTCCCTTTAATTAAGAACACTTTTGGCACTTTTTCTTCCACTGAAAACTGAACCTCCTGATAAGACAAGAAATAGCTTCAGACTTAAGACCACTGTAATATAATACAGTTGTTAAAAACATTTACAAATGTCTCATTTCAGAGAGTTTCAGCTTTAGGATTTTTTTTAGTAAAAAGGTCCATGACAAAACCTAAGCAATGTAATTTCCTGAAAGACTGTTTACTAATGAACCTGCACAATCAATAGCATATTATGTGTTAGTAGATGCCACGCTCAATATTGAGTTCACTGTTGATGCAAGGGAGTGGTTGAGAAAGTACCTTCAGTCCAAGCCAGTAAGCCCAAATGACTGCAACAGCATGCTTACGCCTAGCCTCCTCCTTCAAGCGTTTCAATTCCCTTCGAGCCTAAAACGTTTAGATAGTGAACAAAAGAGACAGCCCGATGCAGATAGCACAATGACCAGGAAAAGGATTCTCCCAATAGAACAGCCAATTTATGAATAAGATATAGAAAGATGGAAGAACGGTATGTAACCATTAAAACCCAGTGTGGAAATGGTGTTAAGGGTAGTCAATAAAAGCCTCTACACTGTTTTACTGATACAGAAAAGTAAGAATTATGCAAGCCCCATTATTTGCTATGAATGTTTGCATCATATCTTCCATGAAAGTAAGCCAATCAATAAATAAATATGAATTCATGATACCTAATTTAATGGAAAGCTTTCCCTCTAGTTATAAGATGAAAATAATGTTGATTCAAGAATCATTTAAAACTTTCTATAGGATCAATAACTCCAGTGACAGGCACTTGAGCATACTGGGGTCAGTTCTACAAATCAAGAAATATGTTGGTTTCTAATTGTAAAAGAAACCTTCTCATACTATTTTATGCCATATTTAAAACTTTTGTTTTTAGAGAGATGTTAATATTTTGTTTCTGTTATTCTTCACTTTGTTAAATGATCTCTCTTTCTGATTCTCCCCACAATGAAGAGATAGGTGACATTATATCACCAAACAGCATAACTTCATCACATACAAACAAGGAGAGAAACAAATTCATCAATAATCTATTTTAGGAAAATAAAATTCCCAAATACTCTATATGAAGACTGAGAGTCTATTAAATTATACTTTTACATTTTAGAAGATATTAATAAATGTGTTTGTTTAGTTATTTGACATCATGCAACTCAACACATTAGTTTCAGTCTTCTTGATAAGGAGATGGTAGCAGCAGTAGCTGTAGCTATGCACTGCAGTACTTTTATCTTGTCAAGTATATTAAAGAAAAGTGAATCCACTTCACATTTACCTCTTGCACTTTTTGGGCACTCTTCCAATTTAACTATGCATTAATAAAGCCTTTATAAAAGATATATTTTAGTTCACTTGTGAGGGAGCAACATCTTAATGCCAAGGACACTGCACAGTCAGAATCTGTTTGCCTTTGGTGGAGGAAGGAAACCAAGTAGTTCAGTTCTATGACTTTTTTTTAAATCTCAAGCAGCCTTTAGGGAGCACTTAAATTCAGTTGGTTACAATTATGCTTATGCTTAAGACATGTTTTCTTGACTTTCTTGACTGCATTTGACTTATGATAGACAAACTAAAACGTAATATTTTAGTTTAGTTAAAATACTTTACAGACATTACCAAACAGAACAGATCAGCCATGCCCATTGTCCAGCTCATATATCCTGCAGAAAACAGGCAGCATGCCCCCTCCCTTGTACAGGCACTTTCCCAGGGCTTGTCTTGGGTGTGTCTCTAAGCAGAGAAATCTGAAGTTCCCTGCTTACAGATATGCGCCCTGTGGGATTTCTGGGGTGCACCTCTGTAAGAGTGAAAAACCAGCTCAGCTGAGGGTGTGGGGCTGGGACCACCAATCAGCTAACTGGTAATCCCAGCCTCACGACTGCACTGGAGTGTTGACCAGCACCCAGGGAATCAAAAACGAGAAACCTAGGCAGGAGATCCCCAAGCTTTAGTGGCCTGATCTTGCATGCCCCAAAAATGGGACTTCCTGAGGCACACAACATCAGGCACCTGAAACTCAAGGAGTGCCTGCCTAACCACATTTTCCCACCGTAAACCTAGTGGACAGCTTCTGCAATAAAGTGACACAAATTGATGCCAACTAAATCACAGCTGCACATCTTGGGCATTTGTGGTATGACAGGGGCTACGGACATTTGTTTGCTTGGCCTTTATGCCACCATAAAAAAATGTTATGACGGCACAAAGGCGATGTCTGCTTCCACTCTTTGTGTATTGTCAATTAGGTACTTTAATATAGAAATAAAAAAAATGCATTCTAATTTGTCTTATTCTTTTTTTTAACAGCAACGTACAGTTTCATTTTGTGAAGCTGTATATAAATTTAGCTCCCTACCACTGGACTCTCTGGTAGAAGAGAGTTCTTAGGTATAGCAGGAATATAAAAATCAATTGTTTTGCTTGTTGTTATGAAGGAGAGTTGATATATAATTATTTTCCTGTCCTAATTAGAGTAAGGTAGAAACATTTTACATTTATTTAATGTAAGTGAAGAGAAAATTGTGAGTGATTAGATAGTGTAGCAGTTTACACTGATCTCTCTCATGAGGGGTCTTCTGTATATTTTTATTTGCTGAGTCCCAGGTTGACATTTCATTACAAGTCTAACAGATTTACATCAGTGACAAAACAATGAAGGTCAAACTCAGCATTGTTTTTTGGCTCTGTATTAGTGGACCACACTAAACATTTTTCTTTTTAACTCATGAGGTATTTTGTAATAACAATGCAAAATAATAATTGAGAGAGATTTAATTTTCATTGGCTTACTGAAAATATCGCAAGTCAGTGAAGCACTGTTAATTAATTAAAACAATAATTTAAATGTTGTTGTCTGCTGCACAGAATTTTTGACGGCTCACAAAACCTGAAACTGCAATCTAGGGATTAGCAGGAATCTTTCAGTGGGATTTTAGTTCTCAAAACGAACAGCTGATGATGGAATTCCTGGGATTTTTCTAGTGCCAGAAGTTTAGACACGTATGCTAACATACTTTTCTCCCAAAACTCAGGTCATCAATACTGCATCTTATTTGCAACACTGTACTTCCTCTTATCCAACTGAAATTTATTAATAAAGACAAAAACAGCACAGAATGGATTGCAAACACGAAGTTGTAAAAATTATAATTTACAATGTACTATTTTGAATGTAAAGAGCCTGCATAAGTTTCAGAATACACACTCCCCATTAAAAGCTTTAATTAGAAATCTAGAAAAATGTCACTGCAAGCACTTGTTAGCAGAAAAAACATGCTTTGCATATTTGGTCAGTTAAATGCATTTTCTAATTTGACAATATTGTACTCTAATAATGTAAATCTAATAACTTGTTAGTATGCAATTGGTACTAGTTGGGTAGCATGGTTAGAAGTTCCTAGTCTACTATACAATAGATGGAAGACTAACATTTAGGATGTCTTCAGATTTATTAAGTGTGGCATGAATGGAAATGCAAGAAATCAAGGATCATGCTCTAATATTTTCTAAGTCATAGCATTAGTTATTAATCTTCACTATTTACTATAGATGAAAGTCAGATATTGTTGAGCAGTGAAGAGGCATGGAATGTATGCATGAAGTACCTTATATCCAAGCCAGTAAGCCCAAACAACAGCAATAGCATGTTTATTTCTAGCATCCTCCTTCAGTCGTCTCAGTTCCCTTCGCGCCTGTAGTGTATTTGAAATGGGTTATAGAAAAGTTTAGGACAGAAAAGGTTACTGCGGGTTCCCAATGGACAGAAAGAGAAAGAAAGAAACCAGTCACCATAAACAGTAAATATGAAAGTATGTCTTGGTTTTTGAGATTGCAATAGTTAAAACATGTAAGCAGCAAAGAGAAATGCAAGTTAAGTAGCTTAAGCCACTGAAAATATTCCCCAAATCTTTAATCTGTAGGGTCTTTGTTCCACATAATGGCTCTGTAATACAAAGCTTTCTAACATTTTCTTACCTGGGTACCATGCCAATAAGCTGCAATAGTTGTGACAGCTTTGTTGCAACGTTTCTGATGCTTAAGTTCTCGGAGAAGCTTTCGAGCCTTTGATCAATCAAAAGAAAAAGAACACTAATTTCATACCTTTTTTATTACATCTGATCTATAATAGGCAGCATCTTACTTAAAACCCAGAAAAATAACCCCTCAAACACTAGCACTCCAAATCCAGAAACAGAAAAATAAGAATGTATTAGAGGAAAGAGGTTGCAGTTGAAGAACTGGTTTGGAACTTCAGGTAATTCATTCCTGGCTGGAATGACCTAGTCTGGCTGTGCTGATCTCGTTGGGGATGGTCCTGCTTTGAACAGGAGGTTGAACTAGATGACCTCCTGAGGTCCCTTCAAAACCTAATTTTCTATTATTCTAATTTGGTTCAGTTTCTTCCTCTGTCACAGACTTCAGGCAGGTCACTTCAACTGTACAAGGACAATAATACTTCTCTTCCACCTATTGTACAATATGATTTAGATTGCAAGTAGGATTTTTCAAATATGCCTAAGCAATTAAGAATACATATCCCACTGAAAGAGAAAAGCAGTATGTTTGGCTCCAGCAATAGGCTCCAGTTCTAGCCAGGACACCCTGAAGACCAACAGCCCACCTACTCTGACTGGCATGCTCTGAATCCAGAATAATGCAGTGAGGCCTCTCAGAGAAATGGCCTGTACAGCAACTTTCAAGACCTCTGTCTCAAGCATACTTCACCAGTCAGTTTCCACCAGTAGAAGCAACAAGTGGCTGGGACCTGGTTAAGAACAATGCACCTAGGATATGCCACAATAATGTAGAAGTACCCTTTGTAGGTTGAGATTTCCAGAAATGCCAGCATTCACCAAACCAGTCAGTCTTTCACTATGTTTCTGCACTGTGTATCCTTTAAATTCAACCTACCTGGCCCACCAGAAGGAATGAATTCTTTAAGTATTAGTATTACAGATACTTGAACTAGGAATGCAGCAAGAAGACATATAGTCTATGCTGCTTGCGATTCGGAGATCTGATTACTTTAACTTGAGCTAGGCAGATAAATTTCAACAAAAACTGTAATGAACACTCACGCTAGTCTTTGTGCAAGGATACTGTTCAGCCAAACAGACAACTATCAGGGGGTTGTAAGATATTACAAAAACCCTTTCTTTTTTGGCCTGAGTTATAAAATATAGTACCTTCTAAATCCATTTTTTCCTAGTCCTGTCCTCTCACTGCATGATATACTGATATACCACAGAGAAAATCTGAAAGAACATATTAATATTGTACAGAATCTCATCTTTAATTTTAAAAAATTATATTCTGAGACCTCATGGCTGCAGGATAACCTTCCAAAGTGAGCCAAGTTTAAACCTGAGTTTGCAGACAGCCTGAAACACTAACTTGGACATAGGAAGTCACATAGCAGCATCAGCTCTAAAGTTACATGCCAATACTTCAACATCATTAACTGTTCCTTGTCTGATTTTTTTAGTGGTTGGAGCAGCAAAGAGGATAGGATCAAAAAGACCTTAAGGATAGGAAACAAGAAATTGCTGCAGGAGAGGGGGGAAAAGAGAGAGAAAAAAGTGAAGACAGAAGAGGAAGAGAATTTTGGAAGATGGGTAGAAGTACCATTAACCTAACAATGAACATTTTTCACAATGAAGAATACTAAATGGGTCAATAAGGTATTGAATAAGCACAAATCTAATTAGTAAATGGATTTCCATATTCTCTCCATCTGCCACTGACATTAGTCAGAGATCCACTGCAGATTACATGGAGTATGAAGTCCTTCCTAGTCTCACAAGGAGAGGTTGGACCAGACAACCCTTGAGATCTCTTCCAAATCTATGATTCTCTGATCTTGGCCCACAGACCATAGCTATACCATGGAATCGAATCACTCTCTCAAATGAGCTTGACTCCCCTTACTTTTTAAATCAGCTTTGTAAAATTCATCATTTGATTAAAATTTCATTTAATTAAACTTCAGAAGGAGTAAGAGTTGGACCTGGCCTCATCCTTGTTTAACATGTCTAGTTTAACATGTTTTTGTCACAGACATGAGATTGCTATAATTTTCTTATCAGCTTCAGCACATTTGTATTTTAAAGCACACCCTGACTGCTTGCAGACAAGTATAATTTTTCAATAATGCTGGACAAAGTTAAAATCTTTTAATAAAAGTGTAATAAACCTAGGATGCAGCTGGGAAACCAAGCCTAATGTGAGTTTGCACAAAAAATTCCAGGCTTTCAATTCCTTTGGCACAAACAAAAATATAAACTGGCACCTGACTGGCAACTGGAAGACTGTCCTTGTTTATATACACCAGGTGTAATACCTTGTAATGAATGAAGAGTTTGCATCTACTTAGGGAAGGGTGCAATAGTAGTGTGAAAGAAAACCTTGACAGGTTAACTCCTTCCTAAGACTAGGCTGTACCTTCCACTAGGTGAAGGTACAAGATTTTTTAGATATTTTCCAGTCCTTCCAAACAGGAAGAAAATCTCATTTTTAAACCAGTTTTTATAAACCTCATTTCTGAAGTCCCCATCATAATCACAGATCTTCTGTCAAAGAGCTTGGGACAGATATATTTGAAGAGGCAATGCCATAACAAGCTGTAGGTAGTAGCAACAACACACTCTCCCACTGGGCCTACTGTGATGTATCAATAGCATTTCCACATCCCCTGTCTGCAGACTGCCTTCCAAAACAGCCCCACCTGGCTAGTCCCTTTTCTTGAAATTGTATTCAATTCAAATTTTATTTCACATTTGAAAATCCTGGTAACATTAGCAAAATTGCAGGGGTGGAGAGGGCAGCACACCAGCCCTGGATGCTGACTGGGGGGTGGGGAGGGGCTTCCAGTAGGGCCCCCCTGCCCCTCAGGAGACTTTGTTACAGCAGGTGCTGCTGTGCAAGCACAGCCCCAGGAGGCTTTCCCATGGGAGCCATAACCCTATCCACACAGGGTAAGCGTGGGTAGGGAACAGGGCTCCCTGAGAAGCCTGTGCGGTTGCCTGGCTCTCAGTGGAAGCAGCCCCAGCCACTAAAGCAATAGCAGTAGCAGCTGCCACTTAAGTCAGGAGAAGTCCAGCAGGTAAGACTTTTCCCTCCTTTTCTCCCTTTTCAGTTGTCAACATAATTCCTGCCCCTGGCACTGAAATAGCTTGCTATACTCTCTGCATGGCAAACTGGTTAATGACTCAGCTGTCCTCAGCAGAGTCCAGCATGCTTAGATTGTATTAGCCTGTGCAAGTAAAATGAGAGGCTTTCTGATGTCAGACTCACCTTCCATCCTCTGATGTAAGACTGTACTATAATTGCCGAACTCTTTATCTTCTGATACTTCTTTTGTTGCTGTATTAAAGAAATGCAAACCCATGATTATGAAGTGATTTGATCAACATATTTTTAGTGATGTCTAAAAAAAAAAATAACCGAGGGGGCAAGTCATAAGAAAATAACAGAACGGTGTGTTATTTTTAAATGCACAAATTGGGGTGTGGATTCCGTATCTAACCCAAAAGGAAATAACCCACAAACAAAAGTCTGTGGACAATGCTACTTTTAACTTACACAGAAATCTAATCGTATGGTCAGCAGTGTAAAGTTATGTGAATTAAATGCTAACAGCCACTGTTTTGTTGTCTTTCCCACCAACAAAATAGCAGACAGTCTGCCACAAATGCTTTGCTTTAGTTTGCTGGCTATGTTTTCTACCGACAATCATAAGACTTCTTTTGTTTCTAACACCCACCCCACAGCCCTTCTATAATACCAGTATTTATAATAATTTAAAGGAAAAAACTAAGTTGCTGAATGCAAGACCAGAATGCTAGCCAAGTAAATCAGTTTGACATACAACCACTGACCATTTTACTTAAAAGGGTGAACAGTTTCCTCTTAAAATCAAGAAGATCCTTATTTTTTTACTAGTAGGCCGTTGATTACCATACCAACAACATGACCACCACTGAACCAGGGAGATGCCAAATCTAAAAAGGTTGAGAACCACTGACCCACACAAGGAAATGTCCCCAAGCTGAATTTGTGGGGAATACACCCCCTTTGCAGCATCCCAATTACTGCCCTTACTTATAACTTTGTCATCTTGCTTCTGAGATCAGGATCCCCTATACATAGGAACCCCTCCTCCACCAAGTAATTATTTTGGATTATGAAATAATTATATGCTCAAATGTAAAACAAAAATTACTCCTGTAAATTCCCAACAAAGCAATGAAGATCTATAAATTAGAAAATAATGCTGATACAGGTGTACTCAAGTCAAAAGCTGGCTGTTCATTTTTTCTTATTTCGTTGTTTCAACAGATCTGCAAACATAGTTTTGCCAACTCTTTTTAAACCATTTAGGACCTATGATCTACTCAGTAATGCAATCTGATCCTGTTCATCTGAAGAAAGATAACGAAATCATATAGACAAACTGCTGTGGGAAATTATTTTTAACACCACCCATAAGTCATTACTTGCTTCGAGATGTAAATGGCCGTATTTTTTTCCAATCTTTGATTGGCCTCCATGTTATCCAAGCTGAACTTGGAAAGCTTTCACAGAATGCTGTTACTACAGAGTTGGTCATTAGGAGTAGAACGATTTGGCAATATCATAGCATTTATTTTAAAGGCTGCAAATAAGGCAAGAGACCAAAAAATGACAATAATTCATAGCTAGTTAATACATGCATCACTGAGCTTTTGTTCAAGTTGGCTGCCTCAGCATTGGTTGATTTTGTTGCATTAGAGAGAGTCCATCCTTCCCAGCGCATAATATTAGGAAAATGTATGCCCAAATATAGACCTGAACAAGTTACTTGGACAGGCATTTTCATATATATATAGCACTTCAACACAAGTCCATATCATTCAATTTGTTTGTGTGCGTATCTGATGCCAAAATACAGATACAAAATTGAATTCCTTTAGCACTTCTCCAAGCTGATAGAGGAAAGGAAAATAACCATTGCTACATACTAAAAAGGAATCTGTGTTTAAAATGAGTAGACTCTTACTGCATATCTCCTGTACCAGGAGGCAATCACAATTTGGCTCTTCTTCATTAAAAGGAAATGAGTACGGCATTTCCATCCTCTGTAAATCTTCTGAATGAGTGTGGCCAAATCTTCAAGACGTTGCTTTCGCAGATCTTCTAATTTGAAGAGCTATGTTTTAAAAAGGCAGGCAAAGAGTAGTTATGACAACAAAAACGTCAATTCTTTGAGACTGACTTTTAGTATATTGTAGGCTGAAGTGGCTTCAGAGCACTATGTTTGGAGAAACCTACACTAATTTTCCATTAAATTCTGCGGTGCTAGCAAGAGGCATTCTTCATGCAAAATGTTCTTTGATTCTGTTGAAGAAGTTTGTTCACGTACCGTTCTTGGGTTGCGGATGAATATTTTCGATCTACCAAAAGAATATTCCTCCTCAGGAATTTCCAAGTCATTAAACAGAACTTCTACACCATCCCTAAAAGAACAAAGTGAGAGCTCTCTTAATCTACAGATAGCACATTAAAGGGCATTTTGAAATCTTCCATACATGTATGGCTTAAGAATGATAGTACAACTCATTTTAGTAATTTTTAAATTCAATTTGAGATAATCATTATTGCAATGTTATGAAATAACTGTGTATAAAGGGAAATAATTTCATTTAGCAATACCAGCAAAGGACCAGTTTTGGCATCAAATATAGTTTTACACTTAAAAAAGGCAGGCAAGGAACTCACATTTGTGTCAAATATAATACAGAAGTTTCACAAACTTTGACTGACACTTGTCAAATGCTACCCCTCCATTCTTGTAAATAGTTAACCATGGATACCATGTTTTACCTGACACTAAATTGATTTTAAAAGTCAATAAATACATGTGAAACCACAGAAGTTGTCCAAAATTACAATAATGCCTAAAAAGTAGAGTCCAAAATAATGTTGGGCAATACTTTCTATGGGTATAATTTGTACTAACATTATCTAGATGATTTTAAACAGCTAAATTGATGCTGAAGTGGTTGATTCATTGTAAAAGAATATCTGTACATCACATTCAATTTCACCTTATCCATGGAAACATAGAAAAAAAAAACTTTGGAGGAAAAATACTATTTTTTCTATCTAGGACACCAGCAAGGCCATTTTTGATGAGCACTATGCAATTTAAAATTAGAGAATTAATATTTATCAGAAGTATCTAATAGTTTCATAAGTCTTTAAGGCTATTATTACCTCAAAATTATTGTTAAAAGAATGTATTGCTTAATAGTTTAGTTAAAAGATAATCATATTACTAGATACAAGATGTTGGAGTGGGGATTACACAAAAAAAAGAGAGAGAAAGAGAGTTGCCCCTCTCACTCTATTACAGACTACCTAGCCATTTTCAAGATAGTTCAAAGAGACTTTGTCTGTAGATTAGCAGGCTGAAATGCATTTTAGGAACTATTTGGCCTCTCTGCAGAACTCTTTTCTGTTAACAAGTAAGACTGTTGCTAGAAGCATTTCCTTTGCAAGTGATCTACATTTTTAGAGTTTAGCTACTTAAATACATATACATTGAAATACGAAGGAATAAGAATACCAATTAAATGTTACCTTGCAGGTCCTCCCCAGTGAGGCCATGTTTGCTTGCAAAGCATTTTGTACCTTTCTAGACAAGGTTCATAAGGCTGCCTGAATGCGTAGCCTGCCCTTCTAACTCGGACATTCTCCAGGAGACCAAGGTACCGGACCTGGTGGCATACTAGAGCATCATTGAAGATGTGTGCAGCTTTTTTGTCATTGGGTTTGATGCATCTGGAAATTGAAACAATATATATTTATTTAGCAGGGAAACTGCTAATTGTTTTGTGTATGTGGAGCTATTAAAGTGACCTTTAACTTTAGACTTTAGGCTTATACTAGATATAAGCTAATGACCTTTAACTTGACTAAATACATGCACGAGATATGTTCTCTCATGCATGTATTATTCTCAAATTATTCTCAAAATTTCATTACTTAAAATCCCACAAAGAAATCAAAATAATTTGCTATTCTGAAATATTTCCTAAAAAGCACATTAATAACTGATCTACCAAAGTGTATGCAGATATAATAGCAAGTATTCATAAGCAGATAAGCAGATAACCAGCCTTCCCCCTCCATTTTAAAGGGTTTATTTGCATAAGCTGTCAGAAAAGAGTCCTATTTGTTGCCAAAAATATAATGGGATGGGTAGCAACAAGAGAAGCTTCTTTACACTGTCCCTATCAGTTTGCCTCATCAAGACTAAGGGAGAAGTTCCATTTCCTGAGAAATTTGTTCTTCTACTTACTGACCATGCAATGAGTCCAGTTAGGGCCAACTGATGGAAAGGTTGTTCAACTACACAAAAATAACTTTATTTCACACAGAAACCCAACAAATGAGTGAAGGTAACATATCTCACTTGGCATTTACCTAAACTGAGTGTACACCAATGATCTTAAAGAAAAATATTTTGTTATCCTTTGATAAAGGATCCTTTATCTCTTCATTATAGGATAACTTTTGGAATTCTCTTTTCTGTTTCAGTCACACATCTATTATAATTTTTTTAAGTTTTGTTATTGAATCACTTACCTAATGTAGTTTGGATTTTTTGTCTGAAGGTTTTTCATCAGGGTAGCTACAGAAGCCTTGAATTGTGAACCCGCTGTTGGGGGTCTCTTTAGGTTAATCTTGGCAGGGTTACCTTCTGGAAATAAGTCTTTAATTAGGGAGTGGTTGGCCTTCCACATGGCCTGGGAAAGGTCACGGTAGAGCAGATCATTATTTTTGTCAACAAATCCTTCAACTTGGTACATCACCTAAACAACAGACAAGAATCTTATTACTGTACAATTTGGGGACATAAAAGGCAGATCAAAATTTAGAGTAGGTCAGGAAGTGATTTACCATTCCATGCAAAATTTCAATAGGAACAAAAATCTTCTGGCTTTCATTTAAAAATCAGTGTTTGGGGACAGGGGGGGTCACTGCATATCAAATACAATCTTTCATTCTCCTCTCCCCTCTGAAAACCACACCAAATTGAACAAAATAGATATTGTTTATAAGCGGACAAGGTTCTTTGGGTAAATCTGATATCTTTTATTAGACCAACTCAAAATATTTTTATAAAATATTTGTTCTCTTAAACTGTAATGTTAAATTTTAAGACAGCTTTAGTCTATTTATTTAAACAAAAAAAACCCTAACATACCTTTTTCAATGATGGACAGAACTTTTCATGTAAGCTCTTTCTTACCAAATACTCTAAGAAAACTTTCTTCCACAGACAACTTAAGAGTTTCTTCCATTTGAAACAAAAAAGTTGTTTTTTTCCCCCTACTGTTTTAAATTGTAGTAAAAACATCCCCACAATACCAACACTAGTTTTACTTAAAGTTATACAGTTGTATTTAAAATAAGCTGAGAAATTTCCTAAATCTGAGCTAATATGAGTAGCATTGCCCTATTATCCCCATGAGAAAAACAGCCTAATGACATGCATAGATGGTACGATCTGAGCTGCAGCTGGACACACAGGAAGCATCCAGCAGAAATTTGCATAGCTCTCTATGGGACCTGAGTAAACACATACACCCTCCCCAAGCTGACCTTAATATAAATTGGTCAGCTTTTATCAAAATAATCATGATCTAGTCATATTTTACACTGGATCAAATGACCAGAAACTTTTCTGTTAAACAGAAAACGTGTTTCTGGATTTAGCTGTTTTTGAAAATATTGTCAGAAACTACTATGGGGAAAAAAAAACAAGAAGTAGATTATATTTTGGGGGGTGGAAAAGTCCATATTTTATCATCAAGCAGCCTATTCAAAATGTTTTCAACAGTTGATTGAAAAACAAATGCAAAAACAGTAGAAACTGACTGAAATGTTCTGCCCAGTTAGAAAGTGCCACAATAAGTGAAGACCTTCACTTATAAGAGGCAATCTGTTCCTAATCCCACCCAGAGCACCAAAGGTATTTTCAATTGGATCATTTCAGCTTCATCAAAGAAAAAGAATGCTAATTATATTAATCAATCGCAAATTACAACCAAATATAAAATGCAACCACCAAATATAGAATATAATATACAAAATAGAAACATGAGGCTGTCATGCCAGTTAGAAAAAGTAGACTCCCAGCAACTTTGTTACAACAGGCTAAGACAGGGGTTTTAAATCTGTTTGAATAAGTGTACCCCTGGTGGCCAGACATGGAGTGGGGAAGGGGAAGAGTACTCCCAGTTGACAAGCCCTGGGCTAAGAGACACTAATACACTAGTAATTAGTGATACCTGAATTAGGGAAAAATTGAAATAAAATACACAGTTAAAAATTATCAAGAACAACTGAGTGAAATAGTACTAGAAAAATAAAATGTTGTCTAACCTTTGACACTCAGTGAAATAACCAATTTCCAGGTTAAAACACTGGTCAAGTTTCTGACAGTCGAACCTTGGCAAAACGTAAAGATTGGATTCCACGTGTGTTAATCATTATACTTCTAAAGAGAGCATTTTTAGTTTCAGAACACTCAGGAAAAATGTATTACCCTAACTTAAGGATGTGGAACTCTATCTACCACCACTGAAGTCTAAAACAGTTTTAGCCTATGTGAGATGTACCCATAAAGATGGCAGTACAGTCAAAAGATAACTTACCATTGGCTGAAGATTAAGTACAAGAGTAATTTTATACTACATCTACATTTGCTGCCCTAGTATTGGTTTTAGGCAACTCCATGCTGCCATATCAACCTTTATTGTATAATCATTTAGTATTTAAAAGAATTTAACATCGTTTCAGATGTCCAGGCCTTGCATGCAAACAGTGCAGGTCTAAGCTTATACAAGTTCTGCGAATACAGTACCTTGCCAGCATAATGCTGAATTCTGAAGCAACAGTGAGGCAGGGATGTATCATTCAGGAAACGTGAACATTTGCTCATCCTGCTCTCAAAGTGCTGATGAGTAGCACAGATTTGGTTCAGTTTCTCTAAAAAGGTGTCATCAGTAACAGTCCCTGGCCGCAGGCACTCTTCATCTAGCATAGCCAGAATTCCAGTTTGATTCTGTAATTTAAAAAAATCCTTCATTAAAAGCCCTGTTTAAATAATCTTTTTATTGACATCAATATGATATTAAGCTATCTTAGAAAAGTATGGCATTATAATAAAAATATAGCTAGAAAAGCAAGAGTCAAAAACAAACACAGATCAGCTACACCAGTGGTGATGCAAACAATCTAGTTCCTGTAATTAAGCATATAATTGGTTCTGAACCATACATTTAATATTTAAATCATAACAAGTCAGAACTCTGAATTTAACCTGCCAAAACTCCAGCCTTAATATTACAGCTGAATTATATATTAAGCTCAAAGAAGCCATTCCAGTCTGAACCCATTCTTGAAGTCATTCATATCACTCAAAATTCTTTGAAAGCTTGATTTCAGTTAAAATAAACTTTATTTTGAAAGTGTGAAGAAAATTTGATAACATCTTGAAAAGTATTTGAACATGAAAAACACATTTCTTAATGAAAAAATTAGTTTTGTGTATTTTTCTTCTCTTACTTCATTACAGGAGCCCATACAACATTCTCATTCTTCACTGAGATCTTAATCATTGAAAACAGTAAAAATGTGCCATCTTTGGTGCAGTAGTGCCTTTAAAGCCAATTTGACTGTAGACACACGTATGAAATATTTTTAAATAGATAGATAATATTAGAAAGCTGCTATAAAGCAATTTTAAACCATAGATCCCAAAGCATTTTATAAAGGAAGTCACCCCCTCATTTTACAGAAAAGAAGAATGAGATACAGGCAAAGTTACAGCAATTTGTTCTATGAGACTATGCTGATTCTGACATTCAGACTTATGAATATTTAAAAATAATACCATAAACTTACAAATACATTGCATTGCAATTGGTTTTTAAAGTATAATGTGTGGAAAAGTTGTTCCTTTTCAGCTCAGCTCAAGAACTGGCCAGTTTGTTTTTCTTTCACCCCCTTCCTTAACATACATTCATGTTACTGAAAGTGTATTTTTCAGATTTGAATTTTGACTTACTCTTTTTCATTTTTCAAAACTCAACTTCATTTTTTCTCCTAGTAGATACCAGAGACTAATTTATCATCACCAACTTAAAAATAAGCAGTTAGTTTACTGATCGATTTTATATATATATATATACACATATACACACACATATATATATATACACACACACACATATACACACACACACACACACTGCTTCCCCCCCCCCAAAAAAAAAGACTCAAGGAGGACGAGAGACAAATTTTATAAACAGAATAAAATATTAAAAGAAAAAAGTACAATAAAATTCTCACCCACGAAAATTCAAAAGCAATCCACTCTCCCACTCCTCTACCTCTGATCAGTTAATCACATCTTAAATAGTAACCCAGCTACACAATTGGGCGATTAATGGCATGATAAAATGGGAAATACGTCACAAAATTGTTCCACAAAATATGTGGCTGGTTCCCATTGCCCTTGAAATTGAACACGTGGCAGGGTCCCCACCATACAGCCTGATGCTAGCTGCATGGTGGGGCTCTAGGACTGTCCCCACTGCAATCCCAAGGCTGGGACCACAATCAGCTGATTGGTAGTCCCAACCCAGGACCCCACCAGTGTCATATTCATTACAGTGATGTCCTGAGACCAAGACCACCAATGAGCTGACTGGCAGTGGTTCCACTCCTGTGACTGCCCTGGAGCATCAAACTCACTCTTGTGCAGTCCCAGTTCCAGCTCCAGGACCACAGCAGTTCACCGGACACCCAACTTTCTACTTGCACCAGTGTAGGGGGAGCCTAGGATCAAGATCCTTAGCCTTTCCTGCACTGGCAAGTAGTAATGATATGATTGGGATTTATTCTCCCGTCCCCAAAAATCACTTGTGGCAATTGTTTGAACCAGGGAACAGATCCCATCAAGCCATCAAGGGAACATGTGCCAAGGGCCCAAGGAAATCCACTCCCCCCACACCCCCAGCACAACCTGACTTCACTTCCCAACCCAAATTCAATCCCTCTGTAAAAGGAAACAAAAATTCTTACCATACCCTCTTCCTCCCTCCCCATTCCCACACCCAATGGACTTTTCCTTCCCTAATATCATCTCTCCAAAGCCTTCCTCTCTCAAAAACAATTATGAAAATGCTAGCATGTATTTTGTATTACTAGGTACATTATCTTTCTGTCCTAGTTGTTTTGAAAGTTTGAGAGAGATAAAAATAAAACTGTATTAAGTCAATAAGAACTATTGTTATTAAGTACAATTACTTCCTGAAGCAGGTGGTGACTGAATTCCTTGGTTATCAAACAAAAGAAATGTTATTTAGAGTTGCTTAGGATCTCTCTTAATGAAAGCAGCACTGCATCAGAATATTTGATTTAACAGAATAAATAAATGTAGTTTGTTTTAGAACTAACTGCTGCACATTTCTAAGGGAAAATGTAATGCATATATTACTTAATAGCTTTGTCCATTCCAGACTTCTGAAATACCTTATTAGACTAGACATTCAGCAGACTAAGCATAAGTAAGCTATGATTAAGTGCAAAAATAGCGCCACTATATACATTATACACACACTCGCACACAAAATTGAAAGCTACCACTATCATTGCAAACCAACAGAAATCCAGTGCAATTAGGATATTTCCGATTTTATAGCACTTAATTTCATGAGATGAATTTTAGAAAAACTGCATGCAGGCAAGAGCTTTTAAGGCAATAATTACAACTTACATTTTCTATTAGGTCACAAATTATAGCGTTGTTGAAATATTCAATGTGAGTCCATTCAATACCCTAGAAGAACAAAAATTAAAAAAAAACAAAAGAAAAAGAAATCACTGTTGAAGACCACTTTTTATTGGCATATTTAAGTTACATTCCTATTTATTAAGATATCCTTTAAAAGTTAGGTCTATATGTACACATACACATACACACGTTTTTGGATCCTAGCATTTTATGTAGGAAAATGCAATACTCTACCACTAATATTATTTGAACAAAATGAATGCCCTTGAATGGCTGCCAGACTTGCTTTCCATTCCATTCTCTAATCTATGTCAATTTCCCATGCACTTCATTGGAAAGGAGCCAAAATTTTATACTGCAAGGACTTGGGTCAATAATGCTTTGTGTACACTTGCAATGTTTATAAGGAAATAAGTCAATTCCAGTGCAAGAATCTGAGACCAAGATTTCACTGTTCTTAATTTTTGATCAGGAGAAAAAGGGCTAAATTTAGATGCAGCCATCTGAAAACCAAGAAAGTCTGGCTGCTGTTCACAAATTCTTAATATTTTAATTTTTTTAATATCAACAATAAAACTTCCAAATATGGAAGAACTAGACCAGACAACATATGCATTACAGAAACCTGCTGATGCACATGATTGAGGGAGATGGCCAAATTTATGGAGCAAAAGCCTGATTATTTCAAGTCCATTCTTAATTCGTATTCTGCAGTAATATCTACTAACAGTTTAGTTTCTTCAGAAAGAATTGAAATTTGATTCAAAGAACAAATTACAGTAATTATGTTTTCAAGTCCTTGACCAAACAATGAAAAAAATACTTTAAGTTCTGTATTGTCTTGATAATTACAAGGCAAGAAGAAAGTCTATCCAGTTTTCAAAAACACTGAACATAGCACAATGGTGCCATTCAATCTGAACACAGAAGTTTCTACAGCTCTGAACAACATTTCCTCTGACTGGTATGTATAATAGAATATATTGCTAGAACCAAAAACAACATTAACTTCATGGCTAACCACTGAAAAACCACAAAAACACAATAAGGTGGGCTCTCAATATATTGAGAGTCCATTCTTAAAACAATACCTATGGCTTATTTTAAAAATTCACTTTAAAAAATTAATAGAATCTATCTACAATTACGTTCATACAATCTCATTTCATCTACCTACCTGATTTTAGACCTATCAATCATGCATTATTAATAATACATATAAATAAAAGTTCATTCTGACCTCTTACCAATTCAGACATGAGAATGTGAAATAAAAACAAACAAGCAAACAAACAGAAAGCCTCCCCAACTTTTCCTGCATAGCAGACGCATTCCATGGCAGATTTAGGATTAATGAGAGTTCTTAGTGTTATGCCCTCAAAAGGTACATTTAGGCAAGAAGGCAAGAAACTAGCATATGAAAAACTAAATTTTATTACTACCTCACGTATGTATTCTTCCTGTTCTTCTTTAAGGGTGAGTTCAATGAAGATCTGCTGCAGCTTCTCATTACAGTAGTTAATAATGAATTGCTCAAAACTGTTTTCCTATGAAACAAAGTAACATATTTGCAAGTTTTGTTGTATCATTAATTAAATCAGGGTAAAATACTGCAGAGGCCATAAGTGTACGGCAGACTTATTAATTACTCTGTCTGGTATTAAATGTGGCATTCTGAGGATACACTATTAAGTTTTTAAATGGCAATCTATTTCTTAAGGCCAGATCATATTATGAATAAAAACAACTTGAAACTAAACCTGGTCTTACAGTTTCTTCATCAATCCCTAAAGATGAGGTGCTGACAAACTTATGTGGCAATTTCCCATGAGGCAAGTGATCAAACTCAAAGCAGGGGAAAACTTTCCCTTGCTCTACCCTCTCCCAGTTGGTGGAACATTTTCCCGGGGTGAAAATCACCTAAGTACCATATTATTTCCAAAAATTCTAAGTGCCTTTGCATTCACTAATTAATCAACATTGCTGACCAGAACATATATTAAAACAAAAAATAAGTGTATTGGTAGCTCTATTATAAAATCAGTGGGAAATGAAATACTATATTTCTTTAAAGATTCCTACTGGCAGGAAGCGCAGCCATGGTACATGAGCAAAGTGTTACATATTAAACCATAGAATGTCATATTTATGTTATCATTAGGCCTGTGCAAAGCATCTAGTATTTGCTTC